CGAAAAGTGTTTATTATGTTAATAACAACAGTTGATTTTATTGCTGAGAGGGGCGCTTGATAGCTTTCTTTTATGATACCGGAGGTTCAGAGGTAAAATAATATAATACGCATGAACGCAGCCCGGTTTTCGATCAAGATGATGGTGAGACCTTGTCAGGACTCCCTGCATTCTATATGGAAGTTCATGTTTTCCACCCTGAATAATTTGTTGGTTTGCTTATTTGATTGTTAATGCCGGTGCTATCTCCAGAACCGGTTCAAAAGCCCTAGACCATATATGCATCTGATTACGCCTCAGTAGCCAATTAGTTTCCCTCAAACCTCATGCTCCAGGCGCAGAGTTGTTAGTTTTAATGATGCAACACTCTGGAAAATGGTAGTCTAACGGCGCGAGTAGCTGAATTTTCAAAACTTGAAGAGATTGCTGCCGATTGTTGAGTAAACAGAAGTCATCTAGAAGACTAAAGCTGAAGAAAGATTACAGAAACTTTACCTCAGGCAAGAGGCTTTTTTTAATGTGTGTTAACCAATAGCCCTTAACCAGAAGTTTCGGAAAAGAAACAGATGGCATGGGAAATTTTTTAATTATTTAAGAGTTTGCAGGGCACAATTTCCGTTTAGAGAAACCGTCGCTGAAATAAATGTTTTTAGTTTAAAGTAATAAAATGAAAGTTATCTTATTTCTACATGCACACAAGCATTTGCTGCTTGTGAAACTTGAAAACATCGGAAATTTTCACGCCGAAAATGTTACATTTTTATTCATCAAGACAATGGTTAACACCTGGCGATGAGAGTCTTCGCTCTGACTGGTCCGTTATAAAAAACATTTTTCCGAGTTTTGTTGGTACTGTGATAATCGTCGACCCAGAGACTTGCATCACTCTGAACCATTTAAGAAACAGTTTGAAATTCCTTGGGAAGGAAACTGCTCAGAAGCAAACGCATTTCTATCATCGACGACAAAAGATACTTAATAACAGACTGTAACCTGGACTTAAGTTGGTCACGATGCT